GAGAGAGAGAGAGAGAGAGAGAGAGAGAGAGAGAGAGAGAGAGAGAGAGACAGACAGACAGAGACAGAGACAGAGACAGAGGGGGAAGGGGGGATGGCAGCTATGTGATTGAAGATACCTCGACGGGAAAGGAGGAAGAATCAGAGACGAATTGACAAAAAGATGTAGACGTCGCCGAGGTCCGCGAAGACGCGCATTATTGAGGCGGCCGCTGTGAGTGTCGTAAAGGAATGTCGTACGGGGAAGTCCCAAGGGACAAAGGAGGCCTACTATCAGCTGACATCAGACTCAGCAGGCCCAAAATTCAGCCAAAATTTTTGAAGCAAGTAGTAAGGGCCTTACTTAGATGTCTACATCACACCGACGAAGGTGTTTGTCCGATCGAGGTACGGCGGCCAGCCCGACCAGCCGTGCGTATAGTGTACCGAGGAGCATATCAATGAGCTCGTAATTTATCTGGCGTGTTCTCGTTGTGTTTCCCGTTCATCACGGAACGCAGATTAATATTTTAAATCGCGCGCGTTATGTAAGGGCGACACAGTCATGAACTACTTTACTCGGACGGTTTCCTCATCCGCATACACACACACACACGACTCCAGTCCGAACCTCCTCGCGGCACTATCGCGACGTCCCGATCGACAAATTTAACCTCAGCGGAGGAGCGGTTTTTGTTCGCGGCCTCGACAGTCATTTAGGTATCTGGCGTTGTCACCTTGGAAGGCCAAAGCCAAGTCAGCAGATATCCCGTTTAGAAGAAAATAATAAAATAAATAAAAATGAGCAGTCGCGTGACGGATACTAGGACTGGCATTTACGCTCAGCAACACACTGACGGGTTTTTGGGCTGCGCTGCCGCTGCTGCTGCTGCTGCTGCCGCGATACAGTCCTGTCAGTGTCAGGACGCAAAGTGTCAGACGACAACAGGGCTTCGCTGCGGACGGATACGAACGGAGGCCTTTCGAACCGACGTGGCGCGAGGAAAAGGCTCATAGTTTGCATAATCTGCTGCGCTGCGCTGGTCGCGCTGGTCGCAGCGGCGTGCACGCTTAAGGCGTGGCGTGCCGCGATGTGGTTCGACAGACGGCCGCGGCGGCGGGAACAGGCGCAGGACGAGGAGAGCATCCACGTGCCCGAGGCCTATACAGGAGGCTGCTCCTGGCTCAGGCCTAACCAGGGTCAGCGGCGCGGGTTAAGCAGTACGACCGATGCCAAACCAGGAGTGCGCGGACGAAAAACTGATTGCGAGACGGCGGCGGCGGCGTCTCGCCGTCGTCGTCCTCGGACGCGGCAGAAGTTTCGGGTAGGCAAAACTGGGATTTTTCAAGATCACATAACCACACTGGGGAAAAAATCCCGCTGTCCTTCGAACCTGGGACACCCGGTCTGGAGAGTTATTTTGGGGTGGTGGGGATGTGCGGAGG